ATATGTAGGGGGTTGTAGGTGCAGGGTGTGGGGACCTCCCCACACTTCCCCCATGGTGCAGCAGCAGGCAGGGCGCTCAGGGTGCAGGTGCCCAGTGGGGCATGGCTCTGGCCGGTGCTGCATATTGGGGTAAGGGCGCAGCCTCCACTGGGGCTGTCTGTATTGCTGGTGCTCCCCAGCAGTCATGTGCAGCCCCCACACTAGCACAGCTCAGGAGGGAAGCCCTGCGGGCTGGAGCCCACTGTCTTACCTGATGGGGCGGCACTGCAGAGGCGGGAAGCCCCAGGTGCCTTCTCCTGGGGGGCGAGGAAGGCAGTGGTCTCCAGCCCATGGGGCTTTTCCTCTGTGCTTTGCAGCCCCGGCAGCAAAGGCACCTGGCTCCAGCATGCAGGGCTTCCCTCCTGTGCTGTGCTAGTTCAGGGGCTGCACGTGACTGGCAAGAAGCACTGGCAATACCCTTATGGACACCTGAGTGCCCTGCCTGCTGCTGCTGCCATTGCTACCACCTGCCGGGGCTGCGTGCTATGGGGGAGTGTGGTAGGGTCTGCACCCCCCCCACCCCACACACACCCACGTGCTGCCCACCCCAGCTCCCTGCTGCTGCTGCCACCCCAGCCCCATGCTCCGCACTCCCTCCCAGCTGCAACCCTGCCCATATTGCTTCCCTGCCTGCTGCCAGGAGCCAGCAGGAGACCAGGGAAGCAGAGCAGGTCCCTGGGGCTGCAGCATTGGCAGCAGCAGCCCTGCCCAGAAACTGCACGAGGTGAGAGTGAAGTAATAGAGTATGTTTGGGGGGCAGGTGTACACATGGGTGCCTCGCTCCCACCCCCATGGGTGGAAGAGCTGGGCAGGGCACATGAAAATGCTTGGTGGGATGGATCCGCCCTGTGGGCTGTATTTTGCCTGCCCCTACTGTACACCAATATCCTAACGTGGTGTGTTGTAGAGACTAATCTGACCAATTTGCATGCATGTTACAAACCTGGGGAATTAAAACCAACATGCAGAAGACTTAAAGACTTCTAAAAGTTAAGGAGGCTGAAGAACAGAGATCGAGTTAGCCTGAGTTTGAAATTCTGGCATAAAAGCAAAGCAACATGAGCACTAGAAAATATCAGACATGTTTGGTATACATTTTATCCCAGTTTTCCATGTAGTGGTTTGAGAATAGGAACAAGTTTGTTCTGTGCGTGTAAAGCACAATGGCTTTCTTTCTTCTTGCCTTTCCAAAACAATCAGCTTGTGTAGCATTTTGTGCAAATATTTACATGTGTTTTGGTTTGTGCTTTCATTTAGGGATGTTTAAAGGGGACTTCAATATCATAGTAAAATCTGGAAGATGTGGACAAACAGCTGAGTGAAAACTCAGAGCAGTCATATGGATTTAAAGCTGGTTTATTTTACAAGTGCCAAGAGTCAGTTTGTTTTGTTTAGATAAAACTATATTAAGGCATTAAAAACCCGAAGACATGAGCATTCTTGCATCAATAAAACAAGCACTGGTATTAAACATGAACTAATTGCTAATTCTCCAAACTTATTCAATGCATGTTTTCCCAGGACTTAATTTGGTTTGTGGGTACACTTGAAATAAGGTCAGTCTATTGTGTTTTCTTCAATTGCCTACTTGGCTTTTTATTCCCTGTGGGAGAAATTTTCCCCAGCTATATGGAGTGAGCATAGGTTTTCCCAGGTGACAGTATATTTTAAAATTGAAAGCTAATGTAAATCTTCACCTTTAGGACAGATATGCTGCTTTTGTCTTACTTTTGAGTGGATTCTTGTCAGCTATTAATCAAACTGTGTGTGTGTTGCTCATTTACATAACAAACAGTAGCTCTATTTAGGTTCAACATCTGGTTCTTATTGAGGTCCTGCTTTTTATGCAGTTATTGCTATTCTCTTGACTGAGCTCAAGATGGTCCAGTGGCTTACCAAAGATCAGCTCATTCTAAATTTGAACTTTCCCCGCTTTCCTATTTTCTAGCCTTTTGGTGTCGTTACTCAGAATGCACCATTGATTCTGCTTGCTATTTATCTGTCAAAAAGCACTGTATATTTCAAATCCCAGTAATTAATTTGGAGTCTTGTCTGTGCATCAGGGCTCGTGGTAGAGGTGATATCTTTTATTAGACCAACAAGATTTTTGCAAAAGAACAAGAGAGCTGGGAGACTCCTTACCAGCTAAGAACTCTCTGCCCAGAGGAGTTTTCCATCTATTGACTCCTCTGTCAAATCCTATTGCAGATGAACTTTCATTTCTATCCAAGAGAACTTTTACAATCTTTTCTCCAATGCTGGATAAAGGACGTTTGTGCCCGAAAGCTTGCAATTAAAGATTTTTTTTTCTTTTTTTTAGCAAACATCTTGCTGGTCTAATAAAAGGTATCACCTCTACCATGAGCCCTGATTTATTTTTCCTCTAGGCCAATATGGCTATAACCTGGATACCTCGTCTGTGCGTGTGTTTTTTGGGGTGTTTTTTTTTTTGTTGTTGTTTTTTTTTTTTTTAGTAAAAGCAACTCATTGCAAAAACAAGTTGGATTCGTCTATTTGCATGTTTAAAAATTTACCAGGAGGTGGCAATTGGTAAATGTGTTCAAGGTAGGGAAGTTTGTGAGGGCTTTCTGTAATCATTTTGGTCTCCCTTCCTTGACAAGGTAAATGCCATATAAAATAGTTGGGGCCCAGCTAAGCCCCAAATTACTTGTTTTTTACACTAGGTAGGACCAGAATACTGAGCATAACTGCCCTAGATGGATGCAAAAAAGAAAGCCTGCAGAGTAGGTAAACTCCCCCTTTGTGAACCTCAAATCTGGTGTACACAGAATTGCGCCTGAATGAGTGATCAGGAATCTAACTTTCTTGCTGATGCAGTGATATTGATGTATTCATACCAGTTACCTTCATACAGTATCTTATTTCCCTTTCCCAGGTGGGAAAAATCTATACTGGTGTAAAGCACACTATCGGTTGTCTAACAAGCTCTACAGTGAGGGTGCTGTACTGCTCTTACTTCTACCTGCATAGTGAACGCAATGGAGTTCTACATTGTTGTATACTTAAGGCCAATCGCTGTAATGGAGAAGTTGGAGAAACTGCTCTAGGGGAAGGGGCTGTTGTCAATTCCATTGCTTCTGGAAATAGGAGGAAAAACTCCCTGCAATACAGAAGAGTGTAGCTGTGAAGCCCAGAAAATGCACAAGAAGTCAATGAGCAGCAGTTATGAAGGCTACATTTTTCTGGATTGGGCCCTTGAAAATAATCTGGGGTAAAATGGGCAACCCCCCCCCCCCAAAAAAAAACCAAACCCCAAAACAACAAAACCAACAACAGCATAGTCCTGTGAGAGAGAGCTTGCTTGTACAAATAGAGGATAAATCATAATTCTAGATGAGAGCTACTGTGTTTGATGCTTGTTAACATAAAAAAAATTCTTGATAAGCCAGTTGTTCCATGTGTTCTTGTGTTCTTTATATATTACCTTTCTTACATTTTTGCTTTACTGACTTTCCTTGGTACTCCATTCCCCTTTCCTGTAAAAGAATCCTTCTTTCTTTGTTCTCTCCTGAGATCACATGAAAGCAAGGTTATGTGTACTGCATTCTGTATTCTAATACCTCACACACCCACAAGTATCTAGAAATGCTCTATAAATAGGAGGCATGAGTAAATGTGAAAATAATTACAGTTGCCTAAAATCCTTTATATGTAATAGGAAAAGCAGCATCCGTCACTATTTGTCTTGTCATTACATTTCAATTATTTTTTATGACAGTATTCTGTTAAATATTAATTCTGAAGGATAGGAAAGCAATTGATAGCTTATCATATGGTCTGTAGAGGTTCACTGAAGTGAAAGCTGCTCTAGGATGGTATTTCAGTAGTCTGTGATGCAATGCTAGGGAGGGGTAAGGGAACAAGAGGATCTTTATGGCCAAGGAGAGTTGGGAAACAGAGTAGGTTTTTCATGTTTGTGTGTGCACAGACTTGTTTCCTAATTTTCAAAATTACAGTCCATGTTGTTCAGTTAATCTGCTGTAGAAATGTGAAGTGCTTGTTTACCAGTTACTGTTCTGTGTTCTCAGAAGTGTTTTAATGTCTGAGGTTTAGATCAGATCACTAAGCTGGTGCTTCAGTACATGGAACAGTTTTTGAGTGCATCATATACTGCATAGGAATGCTTTTCTCCCCAGATAAAGTGTTAAATAAATTATAGCCACTGGGTGGTGATGTTGCACTGTGTAAGTGTACTTTGCCACTTAATCTTGGAGATCTACAACCCAGCAATGTGCTAAAGCTTAGCTAGAACCAAGCTCTTTGTCACCTTTCCTTCTATTACCCACCAACCCTCTAAGTATCACTGGAGTCTTTTTCTGTTTTCAAGCAAAAGCAAATGTGGAATAAAGTGCTGTTTGACTTGCCTGACTGTAGATCAACTTTCAATTTCTTTTAGAGGGAGCTTTGTACCATATGACAGGCCCAGGTAGTGAGGTAATATCCCACATAAAGGGGATTTGGTTCACATATCACAAAATATGCTAAATGTTAAATTTGTTTTTTCAAAAGCCTTTATTAAATCCATATTTGTGTTTCAGAAATGTGCCAAGAAGTGTTCTAATGAAGCAGCACCTGGGGGTTAATAAATGATATCATGAATCCATTTTGATTGCCAAAAAAGATTTTAATAAAGGAAAAACCCAGGGTTGTCTGCATTTTTGTTCAGGAAAAATAATTGTTTTATTTCCACATTTCTTTTATTGTTTTGCCTAAACCATGTTTTCATAGTAGCGTTGAGTCCTCTTATAATTCTCTTGCATGATGGGTATATAGTAATGCAACATGTGAGCTCTCAAGTTGTCTGGGTGTCTTTTTTGTAGATAGTGTAAATACAGAAGCTTGTTTTGTTGCAGTGTAAAAGATTCTGATCCTTCTTCCATATTTTTACACTGACCTGTGTGGGTTGTTTTTTTTTTCTTCTTTGGATGCTCTCTCTTCAGGGTGAAGTAAAATCTGATGAAGGGCCAGCTTGGAGTATTCTGCGTGACGACTTCATGATGGGAGCATCCATGAAAGATTGGGATAAAGACAGTGACCAGGAAAGTGATGCTGCGCAAGGCAACAGATTAAGGCAAGACAATGAAAGTGACTAATGGATGGGATACTACGAAAGAACACTCAAGATAAAAAAAAAAAAAAAAATATTATCTTGTTACATTACTTGGATGTAAAGAACTCTACATTCTGTGAATGTTCAATGTTTTGGGGATTGTAGAGAGAATTTTTTTTCAATTAAAGCAGCAGCTTGCTAAGGTTTGGGGGTCATTTCTTATTAGCTTTGAACTTTTTATTTAATGTAACTTCGTTCACTATACAGAAATCCTGAAATATTTTTCCAAAACATGTATAATTGTCAGCATGTTTCCAAAACATTTGTACAGTCAAAACAGTGGCACCTGCCCAATGAAAGATACCTTTTGCCAAGGTTATTAAAAGTTTATGTATTAGTCATGGCAATTGACCTGTTATTGCGCTTGCATTTCTAAATCAGTGTTGGACATTTGAAAAGGTGTTAGCAATTTGTAATAGAAATGACTGGCAAAATGATGAATCTGATAGCTTTTGTTAGACCAACTTAAATAGTTGGAAAACAATTATTAAGCAAGCTTTTGGGTTCAAAAACCCTTCGCCAGGCTAAGGAAGTTCCAGCAGTTGGTGTGTGCTCTTCCTGGATGGAATGAAAAGTCCAACTGCTGAAACTTCCTTAGCCTGGCGAAGGGTTTTTGAACCCGAAAGCTTGCTCAATAATGGCTTTCCAGCTATTTAAGTTGGTCTAATAAAAGATATCAGATTCACGCAAAGAACCTTGTCTGCCTATGTCCTTAGACCAGCACGGCTACAACCTGCACCCTTGCACAGTGATAGCATTTTTGTGTTTATTGTGAAATTATCAGTTTCTTACAGACTCTATATTATGTTACCTAGGAAATGTTTTGTAAATAACAAAGAAAAGTAACTATTAATGTGATCCTCCTTTTTTCTGAGAATTGAGTTGATTGGGGAGACCAATAGAAACTTAATTTTTTTTTTTTTTAAAAGAAAGATTCATCCCTATTGGTTGATGTTACATCTTTATATTTTTACTTTTTCAGTAAGGCTGAAGTTAATTTCAGTATTAGACAGGGAAAGCAAAATTACTCTTTCTACTTTTTTAACAATCATATAAAGTTTTAATGAGTAAAATTACTCAACTTGATGTATTGATATCTTCATCTCAGAAAGGAGTCAGACCTATGAGGTCATTGTGGTTTTGGGGATGAACTTAGTTCGTGATTAACTGGTATTTATAAAGTGCTATCTGTGTATATTGCATCAAAAGATGTCAAAGAAGAGCCCTTTCTCTCTATATTGTTTGTTGTTGAAGGCCAGATTCTCCGTTGGCATAAGCATTTTTATCTCTGGCTTCTCTTTAGCTGTATCAGTTCACACTAGCTGATAATTTGACTCTTAACGGGTAGTAGGTACAGTGCATATGTAGAGGAAGGAGCCTCGTGGCTACTGAATTTGAAGGAAGAGCCAGGGGACTGAATTCTGTTGCCTCCCACCTCAGACTTGCCTTGTTCAGGTTATGTCACTGTCTTTGTTTCCCCATTTGTAAAACAGATCACCCTTCATGGCCATTAAGCCTAAGTTCACTGATATTTTACCTTTTTAATTTATAGTAGTAGGTCTGTTGCTGTGGATTTCTCATTCACAGAGCCATTTTTGTATCTTGGTACATGTAGGACTTTCTGAGGAGTGCCTTCACTAAACTAAAATATATATTTTAATATTCGACTATTCAACAGCTAGGTGAAATAAGAAAGAGCTTCATTGATGTGACATAAGCAATCTACAAATGTTATATTTGACCACGGGGTTTAAATTTCTTAAAGTAATCAGGGGAGGGGGTATGTGTGTATTACAGAATAAAAACACAGTATACATAAATAAGCTCCCTAAGCTGTGTCAGTTGTTCTGTTTTCCCGTAGCATGTTCATCTGGTATAACTGTAGCATAACTCTTTGAGAGCTCAGTGCTAACAGCAAAAATGTTTACATTTTCAAGTTGGTTTGAGTGTTAAGCATATTAGATATCTAAAGAGACATTAGTTTGTGGCCTGATATTTATTATCACAAATGAAGGCATATACCCAAAAATATCAAGTGGCAAAACCACAAAAGTTTGAGATAAATTTCTCCCAAATTCTAAGGATTAGATATCTGTACAACGATTAAACAGTTCTGTCAAATTAGTAGAATTGGCATCTCATTAGTGCAATACAAAAATATACTCTAAGAGGGTAATGTATTTTGAATTGTATAAATACTGTTAGTCTTGCATGGTATTTCTCTGCTTCCATAGAGTTTAGTTACTTGCAAAGCCTGCATGCTGACGTTAAATCTATTACTTTACTAGAGGAAAGTTGTTAGAATTTTCTTTTCTCTTAAGGCCTGATATTGATGTACAACAAAGACCTGTTTGATATCAACAGGATCTGGCTCTGATCAGTGCTGTGTTGAAATCAAATTCTTGAAAAACATTTCTTTTCCTACCAGAAAGTTGCCTTAGAAACTGCTGTATCATTTGAAATAACTGTAAACTTTCTCATACTTCCATAATCTTTTGCCAGATTGCAAAATTTGTTTGCATGCATTTAGCTTTTGGGTTGAAATTGTGACCAAAGCTTTGCGGTAGGTGTAAATTAGCATTAAGAAAAACAGACAGAGTTTTCAGAAACAATGTGTCCCAAGAGCAACTGTTGGTTTTTCTTTTTTAAGATCACAGATGAGTACTGATTAAAATGTGGTGCCATACCCATTTACTGGTTTAAATTCCTCTTATTTGAAATGAAATATAGAAAGATCAGCTCATCTCAAGAGTGTTTGAATTAGTAAATTACTGACAATCCTGTTGTCCAAGATGCAGTAAATTTGGTACGTGTGAACTTCAGTTGTATGGTTTTATTTTATTTTTTAGGACTCTGTTGACCAGTAAGATTTTGAGTGGGTAGCTTTTTTCCTTTCTTTAAGAAAGCCTGAAATAATAGAGCATGCAAATACTTAAATATTGTAATGCTTTATCTAAAACAGATCCCTTGGGAATGTTCTTTTCCTTCCCAGTCCCTTCACCCCCATGCATGCACTTGCTGCCTCTGCCATCACATCAATCAAGTACTTTATTTCATTATATAGAAATGGTAAATTTTAGGTTAATCTTTAGATAAAGTCTAATTTGAAGCTTTAGATGGGTAATAATGAGAGAGCGACTTGCTTTATGGAAGTAAAAAGTATGCTTAGAACCCAAAGGTAAGTGGGAGCTATAAATGTTGGGCATCTATGGGGATAAATTAGCTCTGGGATGGATGTCTACCCTGAACCTACATGTGTGACGGGCCGGAATCACAAAGGAAGAGTTGTAAAGGAGAGCCAGAACTGGAATGGAAAAGTCCTGTTTGCTAGTCCATTGTTCTATGCACAGGAGCAGCTTATCAGCCACCTCTAGCAGCGTTAGAGCAAGGATCGGAGGTTTGTTCTTAAGTGTTGCTCCCATAAATATCCATGGTTCAGAAAGCTGTGCTGCCATATCTCCTTCCACAGGAGGAATTAATGATCACACTTTTGATTAAGGATCACACTTACATCACACCTTTCTATTAAAAAAAAACAAAAAAAAAAACGGGACCACCTAAACCCAGTTGGTTCAAAGCTTGTTGAGCTCCTAGCAGGCTCTGTAATGTGCACAGCCGGAGAATTATGCTTTTCCATGATTGCAGGTTAATAAACAAGCCTGCATTTTTGGAGGGAGGGCAGAAAGATGCCACTGTTAAGATTTCCTTGCTTTCCCCTTGCCCAGTTTCCCTTAATCTGTTAATCGTAGCCTCATCCTCAGAAGCAGAAGCATGATTTGATCTGAGTGGAGAAAGGAACAGCACAGCTTCCAGTCTAACTTTGTGCAAGGAGGTCTGTTTGGGATGGGATGTTCTGGGGGGTCTTCTGTGGGAGTTTTGGGTGTGGCGGTTCTCACCAGCTATTGGTTTCTGTGTTCGGACAGGTTGTCTGTCTGACTGCGAAGAGCATGATGAACTAAGCATTTCTTCAGCAGGAGGCTATGCGCTGGCGACTGCTGGCTTTCTGGTGGCAGCAGTATTTTTTCCAGAAAAAGGGAGGCAGGCAGAAATAACTGCTCTGGGTCATCTAAGTGTTATGAGTAGACTTTATGCTTCTAGAACAGAGTGCCTGTGTATATGCATGAGCTTCATCTGCTTAGAGCTGGCTCTGTAGCCCTGTCCAAGGAAGAAAGCAGTAGCATCTGGCCTGCAGTGCACTGTACAAGTTAGAAGAAGTACCAGTTCCTACTCTTATGAAATGATTCCTGGCATCTTTCCTATTCACATGGAGCAGTCATAAGTTTGCTTCCTTACAAATTGCTCAGTTACTCATCCAGGATTTGCTTCTAGATAAGAGTTGTGTGGGATGGGGCTGAGGGAGGAAGACTTGACATGTTAGTGAACTTTCAGATCTTGTTAGAATTGATCAGCCATGGATCAAATATCCAGAGACCAAACAAGCTGTTAAGCGTAAAAGGGGGAGATTTTTTTTTAAGTGGTTAATCACTGTCACACCTTAAACTTGCTCACAAGCAACAGACATGTAAAATACTAGTCATTCAGCTAATGGGGACAATGCTACTGGGTAATACATTCTTTTCCAAAAAGGAAAAGGAAAACTTGGTGTCTTTGTTTCCCTGTCTCCTTATCATTTTAGAGAGATGCCTTAAGCGTTTGGAATAATAGTTTAATAAATAATGCCACAGGACAAACACTGTACCAGAAGGTTAACTTGAAGACACCAGAGTTCCTTATTTCGTAGACCAGACATTTGCTTCTAACCGATTTTTTTTTTTTTTTTTTTTTAAACTCCCTTCAGGTATATTGACTGAATAAAACTAAGTTTGAAGTATGTGGTTCCAGCACTAGAAAACACTTTTTGTTTTTGTCTCTACAGAATGCTTTAATCTTTAGAAGGATTTTGATCATTCAAACCTATGTATAACCTCATTCATGTCATGACTTTCATTGGGTTCCCAAATTGCGTCAGTATTTGGAAATCTCCTGGCAAAAAAGTATAGTGTGGTGTTTCCGGTATTCAAGTAAGATGACCCATAGCCCCTTCCTTCATTCTAGTGCACGGGGAGGAAAGTTTTGTGCATCATTATGCAGAACATTGCTGAAAACAGAACTCGGGATTTTAGGAATTCTACAATCAGATCAGGCTCGATCAGCAATGTCATTTAGGCCTGTTCCTTACTGGCATCACTTGCAGGAGTCTAGGCTGGATCATGCTTCCAGTGGCAAAAATAGCTCACCTAAGGGATGTACTAGAAGCACTTCATATTTAACGCTTTGTTTCCAGAATATGTGCAACTGTCAACAAATCTTATAATCATGTTACAGACCTGAGGAAAACATCAC